TCTTTGTTTTTAATCAGTTGTGAGAGGGACATGGATAGATCAGAGTCCCCATGCATGCATCTCTAACCTGATCCTCCAGGTAGTAGCCAGTTCCACAGTGAGAAAGTCTGGCACTGGGAACTCTCAGCAGCACTCTGTGCAATTTTCTACCTCTATGATCAATGTGCATGGTTTCACCAAAATCCTGGCGGATGCCTCATCAACCTGTTTTACATTCCATCAGGGGCAAAACAGAATGAAAGACTAAAGTCCACTACCATCTCTGAAGAACACTGTGGCTCCTTGTATATTTCCTCTTCCTTTCAAAAACTGTTATGGTTATTCAAGCAAGTTTGCATTTCCATATAAATTATTAACTCAGTTTATCAATTTCCACAAAAAGTCTGCTGGGATTTTGAGTGATATTGCATTGAATTTGTAATAGGATTTGGGAGAACCTAAAGCTATTGAGGTTTCCAATTCATAATATGATAGATCTTTCTAATTATTAAGCTTTCTTTACTTTCATTAGTATTTCTTTAAACTTTTCTAGACAGATTTCTTGAACATATTTTCATAAACCAAATAGAAAAGGCAGTAATTAAGAGCAACTATTTGAAACATATATTGTTCAAAGGATTTTTATATAGAAAATGTAAAGAGCTCTTTCAACTCAATAAAATAGTACAAAGATCCAAGTTTTAAAATGGGGAAAATGTTTGAACAGACTCTTCATAAAAGAAGACATATGAATGACCAAAAAGCACATGAAAAGTTGCTCTACAAAATATGACCCATGAGCCAAATCCAGAAATTCACTATTTTTAGTAATTTTATTGGAACAAAGCAATGCTGTTTGTTTATATACTGTCAATAGCTGCTTTCATCCTGCAGTGGCAGAGCTGAGTAGTTGAACCAGAGAATCAATAGCCTTCAAATTTGAAAATAATATGCTTGTCTATGGCAAAGGTTTGTTGACCTCTATTCAACATCGTATGTCATCAGGAAGATACAAGGGGATACCACAATAAGATACCACACACAGCACTGATAGTTAAAAACAGATGACTAAATCAAGTATCCACAAAGGTGTAAAACAATTATCTAAATTAGAATATATTTAGGGACTTGTTCCTTTCAGTGTGAAGGGCTCATCCTGATATCACATTAATATTATAGGTGGGACAAGGGCCTATGCAATGACTCTACTCGAGGACCAATATGTGCTTGTGAGGGGACCCCAGAGCAGGTGTGGTGAAAATTTCATATTTCAGTAGCCCTATTTTTTCCTGATATGTCCAACATCCCAGCCAACTCCTTCTGAACCATCTGTGATACACTTCAAAGGAGGGTACCAAATGTTTCTAGCTGACATCACCAATGGCAAAATCTCCTTCCATTAGAAGAAATCATGGCCGCAACAGGAATATTCAGACAAGTATGTCTGTGCTCTGATTGATGCATGGGTTGCTGGACACAACCTTCAAAAATAATTTTGCTGCATATTTAATTTTAATTTAATTTGCTGCACAACTATACAGAATGGTGTATTTCACTGCAGTGTATATGTATATGAACATAATACAATTTGATCACTTTTACTCCCCAGTACTTCCCCTTGCTATTTCCCTCCTCCTTTCTTCTGATCCCCTTCCTCAGCCTTAATGGTCTTTCTTTTATTTTCATGAGATCTTTTGAATTCTATTTTTCACTCTAGCTTCCATATATGAAGAAAATACAATACTTATCTTTCTAAGTCTGGATTATTTTGCTTAACACAATGCTCAACAGTTCCATCCATTTTCTTACAAATGGCAAAATTCCATTCTTTATGACTGAATAAAACTTCATTTTGTGTGTATACATTCCACATTTTATCTGTCAATTTATTGACAACCCCCTAGGCTGGTTCCATAATTTGGATATTATGAATTGTGTTTCAATAAACATAGGAATGCATGCATCTCTAAAGTATGCTCTTTAATTTTTTTGGATAGATACTGAAGATTGGTATGGTTGGATCATATGATAGTTCCATTTTGCTTTTGAGGAGCCTCCATACTAATTTCCATGAGGCTGAACTAATTTACATTCCTCTCAACAGCATATAAATGTTCCTTTCCCCCTGCCTTCTTGCCAGGTTTCATTGATATTTGTATGCTTGAAGATGGCCATTCTGACTGGAATGAGATGGAATTTCAGTGTAGTGATGATTTGCATTTCTGTGATGGTTAAAAATGCTGCCTATCTTTTCATATAATCCATGACCACTTGTAGTTCTTCTTTGAGAAGTGTCTGTTTAGTTCATTTGCCCATTTATTTAATGGGTTATTTATTTATTTGATTGAACACAAAATTTGAAGAAGCTGTAGGAAATTGTACAGCATTATCTCCACATATGGCCACAAAGGGGCAATGCTGCTTCAGTGAAAATTAATGTTGGGCTGGGATTGTGGCTCAGTGATAGAGCACGTGCCTCACATGTGGGAGGCTTGTTTTTCAGCAACACATATAAATAAATGAATAAAATAAAGGTCAATCAACAACTAAAAATTAAAAATAAAAGATTAATGTTTATCTCTCTTACACATATTTAATAAGTAGGGAGAGCTCATTCTTTAAAAATCTAGGAAATTATTTCCTACTGTGCTTCAATATATTTGGACATCAAATATGAAGCTGTTTGTTTATCTATCCATCTACCTAAATAGTATCTATTGTCCCGGTCTCACAGGTTTGAAATTGACTTTGGAAGGGATCACTTCTTTGAAGGCACATGATGTCCTTCAAAGTCAGAGCCATATTAACTCTTCTAATGGAAGCTGATAATGTTCTCCTCCCCACATGGTCCAATCTCCTGATACACTGAGATAACCTATGCCTAGAATTCCATAATCTAGTCTTTTTTATTATTTATTTTAAAGTTTTAGGTGGAGACAATATCTTTATTTTACATTTATATGGTGCCAAGGATCAAACTCAGTGCCCCATGCATGCTAGGCAAGCACTCTACCACTGAGCCACAATCCCCCCCAATAATCTAGTCCTTTTATTGGGAAATCCATTCATGGTTTAAGACCCAGTCCAAGCCCCTCCTCTGTCAAGACCCTTCTCTGATGGGTCCAGAAGTAGTCTTCCTCACTGTTTCCTGTGTTATTTTGTCTAGACACACATGTCTCTTTGGTGGGTTTTATTTTGTTCTCCTTGACTATTGGGACTGACCAAATGAAGATTGGAACCATGTCTTTCATGACTGAGATGCAAGTACTATTCATTTGTAGGTATTTACTAGGTTAGCAAATATATATTTAGCACTCCCTTCTTATCCTCAATTTTACTCCCAGTCTTACAGGTTCCTATTGGCATCTGAGGTCAGACTATTAAGTGGGAAATTCAGATATATGCAATTTATAAGTTTAAACTGCCAACATACTGAATAGCATGAATAAATCTACTCCCATCCTGCTCCTTCCCATCCAGGACCTGAATCAGCCCTTTGTCAGCACATTCATGCTGCATATGCCACCTGCCCTTTTGTCAGTTAGTATCTCTGTTATCAGAATGAGCATCCAGTATCACAGTGCTCCTGTTCAAGTAATCCTTATTTTATTTAACAAGCACTCTGGAGTGAAAGAGTAGTGGTTCTGGCAATTTGGATAAGCCAAGGAAAAGCCATGAAGTGCTTCCTTTTTGGGGAAAGATGAAAGTTTATTATAGGTATATAAGTTTAGGAAAAAAATAGTAGAAAGAGTTCAGTATTATTTGTTTTTCATGCATGAACAGGAGATTTTAAAACATTTCCTATAGATAAGAGGTTACTATTCTACATTGAATACGTGTCCAAATAAATGAACATGTGAGTAGTAAAGAAAACATCAAAACTTACATAAGCAATACAAAATTCTAGGATATTAGAATGAAATGGGAATAGACAGATTGAGGAATGTGGACCATTGTCTCCTATTGCACTCTGATAATATTCCTCTTTGATTAGATTTGAGAAGACATCAAATATAGATAATAGCAAAATTTTCTCTTTGATTTAGTAATAATAATTTCTTCCTTAATTTTTTTAACTTCTATTACTTATAATATAGCCCATCCCTATGTTTTGGATTACTTTAGAATTTCTCAGTTTCTGACTGTAAGGTCAAATTGATTCTCCATATGCTCATGATTTATCCATGAGAACAGAGTGTTAATAAAGCATTAAATTCTTATTCAAACTCAGAATGAGAGTTACCCCAAACTCATTATTAGGTGGCAACCATAGCCTCAAATCTTCTTAAGTTAGAAAGTTTTCCAAGTTCTCTTGTCTATCTGAAGATCAGAATTCTTCCAGGGATGATAATCCCAGTATTTCCTAGTTTCTTACTTCAGGTATATTCTTAGAAATATTTAATTTCCCTCATCCACATTTTATAATACAAAGAAATTGACATTTATTTAGTTATCTTCTATCATTTTCTAGGGTCATGTAAAATTTAGGCACATTGAAGTTCCCTGAGGAGAAAGGGAACATTTATTCTGTGTGTTCTGATCCATGCTCTTAGCTTGCAAGGGAGTATTATGCCCATTGTGTCCTTCAAAGTAGTTATTAATATTTGTAATAAAAATGAAATTCCTTTAATCTTGTGGCTTCAGGAGATTCTCTCTCTTCCACTACTGTCATATAAAATGATTTCCACTGATGTACCCAACTGTCACAGAGTATGATTTTTTTAATATTCCAGGAAAAATAAAGTAAAGGTAGAAGGGGATTAGCAGAGAGGAATTTTAAACTGATCCTTATCCATGAGTAAGTAGGGGATTTTTTATTCCCACTAAGTGTATTTCCAACAATTCTAAATTTGGACAAAACAGGAAGTGCTTCCTTGTCATAAAGGTTTCAGCAAACTTACTTGTAAAAAGGTGGAGCCTGCTAATAGAATTGCAGAGCTCGAAAACTTAGAGTGAAGCTCAGCTGTTTGGGGAGACTAGAAGACCAGCTGGGTTCTCACTGGGCTGTGGCTCCTGGAGGAATGGACAAGATCCTGGGAGCATCACTTTTAATCCTTGGCCTCCACCTTACCTGTGAGTTGTGGAGGAAAAGCCCCAGCTCATGTGATTAATATGGGGAGATGGAAAATTGGGACACAGACAAATCTTGCAGGTAGGAGATTTAAGAGGAAAATATAAATTTGTTGGCCTAATGACTTTTTGTCATCTTTCTAAGCAGGGGTGAGTGGCCAACAGAAGGGAAAAAGTGACCAGCAGCAGGTGAAGCAAAGTCCTCAATCTCTGACTGTCCAGGAAGGAGGGATTTCAATGCTCCACTGTTTTTATGAGAACAGTGCATTTGACTACTTCCGATGGTACCAGCAGTTCCCTGGTAAAGGCCCAGCATTATTGGTAGCCATCAGTTCAATTAAAATAAAAGAAGAATTTGGAAGATTCACAGTTTTCTTCAACAAAAGTGCTAAACATATCTCCTTGCACATCACGGACTCTCAACCTGGAGACTCAGCCACCTACTTCTGTACAGCAAGAGCACAGTGCTCTCCAGGCACCTGCTGCCTGAACTCAAACCTGCAGCTGAGGCTCCAGCAAAGCCATGCTGCAGGGCTTAGACTGGCAGAAACACAGACTGGCTTTCACTTGCACAGATAGGTGATGAAATAAATGTATGGATTCATTAGTTCTTTTATTCATTGCTGGTAGAATGCAAGTTGGTCTGACTATATTGGAAAGTCTTTGGGCACTTTTTTGTAAAATGATTTATTATATGGACAGAAATTCTATCCCCACATATTTACCCATGAGAAATTAAAATAAATAGCTACACAAGGATTTCTGGTTAAGGTAGTCTTATCCATAATAACCCACATTCTCATAATGGAAATAACAAAATGCTCACTATCTGGAGTTATGAATTGTGGTGTATTTCTATAAATAAATTCTATGAATTTCTATGAACTACCATACAGTAAAAATGGATTAAACTAATAATACAGGTAACAAATGATGGATCTAAAAATGGGTATGCTTCATTGGATGAATGGATACATATACTGTGCTACAACCATATGGTAGAAAATTATTTACCAAGGAGAAAGAATGGACCATTGATACTCTCAAAAACTTGGATGAAACTCATGAGCATTATACAGAGTAAAAAAGATAAACTCAAAAAGTAATTAAACATAAAGATATAATGCATGATTTGACTTCTATAAAATTTTTAAATGGAAAAAATATAGGGATGTAGATAAAGGCAGAAGATTTATAGTTTATGTCTGGGAAGGGTATTCATGGACAGTGTATTTGGACTGATGAAACAGTTCTGGGTCATGATTGGAGGGTGGTTAATAAGAACTATACCTGTGAAAAAGTTTTATGTAGTAGTATAAAAATGATGAGTCAGAATTAGATCTTCATTTTTATGAATAATATTGTATCAATATCAATGTTCTTGTTTTGATAATGGTACATAAGGATAATGGTGCATAGCTATGATTACATAATATATTATTAGTGGAGA